TACTGTGTGTCAACTACCCTTCAATTAAAAAAATAATAATTAATAAATAAATAAATAAATAAATAAATAAATAAAGCCCTCGCATTGCATGACAGGGGCTGACACCCATGCTATTTGCCACTCAATCATACCACCTGTCGGTGAACAAGAGGATTGGACCTCCTTCCCACTGTCAAAAGCACAACTGCACTAGAGGCACAGAGCACTCAGGCGTGAAAGGGTTGATGCCAGCACGGGCAGTGAGGGTGCCACAGGGAGCTCTGCTGGAGGTCGGGAGCCGGGATGCAGTCCAGTTCTGGCCTTGGCTGTAGAGTGAAGCTGAGCAAATCCTGCCATTATCTGATTTTTATTTCTTCATCTATATAATGGATGTAATGATCCTGATGTGGGTGGATGGCTGTGAGTCTCTTGAGAAAACGTGCATGCCCCAGTGCTCTCCCCTGTAAAGTGTTGCACAGATGTGAGAGTCATGTCTGGGATTAATGCAGTCTTCAGAAAAGGAAGAAATTCACATGGCCTGGAGAAGGCAAGTGAAGCTTCAAGATGGGAGTGAAGTTATCCCAGGCTCTGGGGTCTGCAAAGAGTCTGGGCAAACAGGAGGGAAGAGAAGGCAATACTCAGAGGGCTGCACACCCAAGCAGTAAATGGGTAAGAACTCTTTGGGCTGGAGAGGGGACCCCTACGAAACCCTATCTCCCTCCTGTCCCCATTTTATTGATGGTAAACTGAGGCCCAGAGAAGACATACAATTTACCAAGTCAACTATCCAGTACGTGACAGATTCATAAGTCCCAAAGCCAAGGACACACAAGAGAAGGAAAGAATGGGCAAGTTCTTCAAATGCTGCTGAGCTCACATGGAGTCAGGGGATCCTTAAAGGAGGTGAAGTTCCTGTCATTGGAAAGACCCCTTAACAAGCAAGAGGTCACAGAGAAGGTAGGAATTATGAACCTGGGCTCTGGGGTCATGGTCTAAGTGAAACCTGGCTCAGTTACTTACAGACTATGTGAAATGTGGGTAAATATGTACAATGAGGGTGACAGAAGTTCCTTCCTTTCTAGGTTGTTGGGAGGATGCAAGGTGTTACTGGGATATAAAGCACTTATCAGTCTCTGATGCAAGACAATGCTCATCAGATGTCAGCCTCTGTTAATGGTGGTGGCGATATTGTGGCAAGAGGAGTGACTGGCAAGAGAGCGGCAAGACCCCAGACCCAGCCTTCAAGGGTTTGAGGCCCAGCAGCCAAAGCAGCTCTGGAGCTAGGATGGTCCTAGGCGGAACTAATACACAAAGCCAAGTACTTTCTAACAAAGTTGTCTGCTCTGCACTTCTTTCTTCATCTGTTTATATTCTCAGTGACTATGAATTCTCTCCCATTTGCAGCCCTTCTGTGCTGAACAAACCTTTTTTATTATGAATTACTAACCATAGGGAATTTGTTTTCTTAGTTTTACATTTCTCTATTGTTTATAAAGTACCATATCAACTACGAATATAACTTTCTTAGAACTGTATTTCTGTATTGCTTAGAAAGAGCCACATTAACTACGAATATATAATAGTTCTATGGTCTGACAGTTATATCCAGAGGTTGAGAACTGCTGCTATGGACTCAATTTGGTCTACAGATATGTTTTGTTACAAGCTCCAAATTAAATTATTCAGCAATATTAATAATTGATAAGATTTTACATTAAAATCTAGATTTCTGGCTTCTTTTTACATTTTTGGAAAACCTGACAGCATGGGACCTGCATTCCCTGTGCCAACAACTGAGTGGTGACATTGAAAAGGGCTGCTGTCTTCAGTTAAATCAATGTTCTCCAGTTTGCCATAGTTCCCACCACTCCCTATTGTTCCCCAACATCAAAGTTAAGAAATCTGTCATTATATGCAATGTAACCCTATCTTTCCTTATTTAAAAAAAGCAAAATAGATTGAGTAATCATGTCTCTGTTAAAAATGGGTTAAAAAAAGAGAGATATATATATAGCTACATATTTAATATATAAATAAGATATACCTACCTCGAAAAAATGAAAAGATGCCATTTTGAAACAAACTTGGTCCCGCTAAGTTATGTATGTTACCTGAGGGCTGAAGGCCTAGTTGCATTTTGATTGGTGGGCGTAACTGTGGTCCAATATATCAATCCAGGATACATACAGATGGTCCTGGATTGACAATAGTTCAGCTTATGATTTTTCAACTTTATGATAGTGCAAAAGTGATATGCATCCAATAGAAACTGTATTTCTAATTTTGAATGTTGATCTTCTCCCAGGCTAGGAATAGGCAGTAGGATATACTCTCTTGGTGCTGGGCAGTAGCAGCAGCCTCAGTTCTCAAGCAATCAACGAGGGTAAACAACCAAGAAACTCATAACTATTCTGTACTCATAGCACCATTCTGTGTTTCACTTTCAGTACAGTATTCCATAAATTACATGGATATCCAACACTTATAAAATAGACTTTGTGTTAGATGATTTTGTCCAATGCTAGGCTAATGTAAGTGTTCTGAGCATGTTTAGGATAGGATAGGCTAAGCTGTGATGTTCAGTAGGTTAGGTATATTAAATGCATTTTTTACTTGATGATATTTCCATCTTATGATGGGTTTATCAGAATGTAACCCCATTGTTAGTAGAGGAAAATTTGTATGCATAAGGCACCAGATTCCCTTACTCTGGTTAGAAATCCTATGTGCACTGTTCATAGTTTCTTGGTTTGCTGTGTCTGATAATATCCAATTCACTGGAATCCAAAGATGAAAGCCCCCAAAGTACATTTCTCCCCCACAAATAATTGGAAATAGATGCATGTTAGTATTGTTAATTTTGTACCTACTTCACCAGGGAAGCCAGGCCATGTTCAAAGACATTAGGGCTCTCATTTTGGAGTTGACCTGGAAGTGGGAACTGTGAACTCAAGCTGATGGAGAACAGAGAACAGGGAGGGTGGCAGGTCTGGGAGCTGAAGGGGATCCAAATGGTTCCAACTGCGCATGTGGGAGGAATGGGGGCAGGATGCCAAGCAAGGCATTTTGCCTCCTGCCAGACTGTGTTTTGAGGGTTTAAGTGATTTCCTTCCATTCAATGCAAGGTTGTAGAAATAGCCAAGAGGAAGCTTCAGGTCACCAAAGCTGGTCTAAATTGTTTACAATGAGATCAGAACATGGGGATCTTAGGACTCAGCCAGAAATGCCTTTTCCTCCCTACTTCTCCCAGATGTGCTGTCCTGAGAAAGTTGTGTATAGGCGTCTCAGAAGAAGGTCTCACCAGACCGAATCATCAACCATCTAATGCCTCTCATTGACTCTTCCTCCTTCCCTGCCTCATTTCCCCTCATTCCTGGGATTCCACTCCTTAACAAGGGAGCACAGAAATTGGCCTCAGGCTCTGCTTTCTGAAACTCAGGTTAAGAAAGAGAAGCAAGAGCTTATAAGCACCATCAAGATAGTGGCTGGAAGTTCTGTATGATGAAGTAGCTGGTGAAACATTTCCGGTGTGGGTATGGCCCCAGGACATCTGAAATCATAAACCCAATGTACGGTTTGGAGCTGTTTGCATTCCAGCAGTGGAAATCCCTCCTGCCAGTCCCCTTCCCCCAGCAACAACAGAAGCCTTTGATTAAGTTTAACAAATACACAAATGTTTTGTGAAAATGGGGTTTTATGAATATCAACTGAGAGATGAATTCCGTATCTTGGTCAACAGAACAGAACAAAGGCTACGCACATGGGATGTTCTGATGAGCTGTAATCAGAACTTAGCACAAATGAGAGCTCAGCATCAGAGGTAAGTGTGAGAACTTTAGCTTCTGAGAATTTGCTTAGATATTGAGAATGACTTCAGGTTTCCAAAAGTGACAGAATGGGGGCAGGCAAAAGTCATTTCCAATAGGCAGACAGGAGTCCATCCAACATCTGACATACAAGCAGCACAGAGCATCCAAAATTAGACTGTATAGGTTTGAATTCATGGGCTGTCCCATACTGGCTGTATGGCCTCAGGA